GCTCTGGGAAGGGAAATCAGGGGATTAGGAGTAGAGATGAGTGAAATCACTGATACCAAACCTGTCTTGTGCTTTCTGAATTGCTACCATGTACTTGTATGAAGCCTCTTTCCTATTTCATTACAATACAATGTAAACTCCTCAACTACAAGGAGCGCCTGCACTGCCTGACTCAGTAGTCACTAGTCACATGTGGTTATTTAAACTGGAGTTGACTAATATTAAATCTTAAGGGCTGGGAAGGTGACTCAGTTAATAAAGTACTTGCCACATAAGCATGAGGACCTGAGTTTGGATTCCCAGTACCCATGTAAAAAGCCAGGTGTGATGATACATGCACTGGGGAGGTGGAGACAGCCTAGAGCTCACTGACCAGCAACATAGCTAGCTCAGTGCACTGCAGCTTTAATGAAAGACTCTGTCTCAAAAAATAAGGACAGCAAAAGAGGAAGACACCTGACATCAACCTCTGGCCTCCACACATGTGCTCACAAACATGAGCATGCACCTACACATACAAGGGTGCGCACACAAATGTATACATGCAAACACTGCACATGCACAAATTAAAATTTGCTTCCAGCTACACTGGCCACCTGCCAAATGCTCAGCAGTACACATGTGCTCACAAACATGAGCATGCACCTACACATACAAGGGTGCGCACACACAAATGTATACATGCAAACACTGCACATGCACAAATTAAAATTTGGTTCCAGCTACACTGGCCACCTGCCAAATGCTCAGCAGCTATGTGTAGTTTTTGGCTACCATACTGGATGGTGAAACTACAGAACATTTTCATCAACATGAAAGGTTCCATTGGCTTAAACAGCCCATGGGAAAGAAATCAAATCTTAATTGTTTCTCATAGTAAGAGAAGAAATACAAATGCAAGTACTGTTAGGATGAGACTCCACCCATCTCCATACACGAGACAGGTAACCTGAAGACCTATGCTAAGACAGCATTCGAAGCCTGGGGGACTCCTGACCCAGGGACTGTACAGAGGTTAAGTACACACCTGTCAGGAACTTCAGTCTTTAAGGTTCAAAGTCTAGCATTCTAAGACAGAAGCTGATAAGGACTTTCCATTTTGTACCATACATCCACGCTAAGCTATAAATTCCTATCTCTTTTGTGATTCTGAAAAAGGCTGACGGGAAAGTTCATGAAGCACCAGCAACAGGTTTCCCTGGGAGGTTCATGTCCAAGAAGCAGACAGGCACAGTCCCTCCCTGCTTCTGCCACCTTCGAGACCCTGCCTGAGCTGCAGAGATGGCTCAGTGGTTAAGAGCACTGACTGCTCTTGCAGAGGACCCAGGTTTTGTTCCCAGCACCCACATGACAGCTAACAACTGTCCTTAACTCCAGTTTCAGGGGTTCTAACATCCTGTTCTGGCCTCCTTGGGCATTGCATGTACATGGTATACTTATATACATGCAGGCAAAATACTCATACACATAAACAAAAAAAATAGATAAAATTAAAAAAAAAAAAATGAAGACTCAGCCTGGCTGGGCTGCACCCATGGGCAGAGGATAAGAGAGAACCAGAAAGTCTTGTCACCTAACCCTAAGTGGGTGACAGCCAGAGGTGATGTCAGGTAGGCAGATCAATGAGGAGCTCAGTTGCAAGGAGGAGGTTTGTACGTTCTTTGGCAGAGCTTTGCAAAACTCTTATTGTCTGAAAAGTAGGCTCAAAACATACAGCTCGTGTCCTGGCAGGGCCCAGCACCTGAGAAACATCAGACTCTTGGGCCAAGATCTGAGCTGTGATAGTCTGAAATAACTACTGCTTGAAATTATGTTTGAAATAAGACAATGCTGCTGAAATCCATACCAGTCTGTGTAGTTAAACAGAAGCCCAACACCACTTGACCCATTCCTTTCATGGACCCTCAGCTTCAGACTCTGGGGAAGCCCTCAGTAAGCTTCCACCTTCCCTCAAATTGCTAGAAGGCATTACTACACCAGCATTTTCCATTTTACTGAAAAGGAATCAAAATAGCCCTGTTTGTACACTATAGTAGAGGCTTACTATGGAATCTGAACACCATAAAACATTCTCCTGTTGTCCAAACCTGCTGTCAAAGGAAAGAGCTAGGAGTTTAAGAAGGTTTGTCTTCAGTAAAGGAGGCACAACTAGTCAGCAGTATCTTCTAACTTCGGTAACAAAGCTGGCTTCACACAGAAAAAGAGCCCTGTCAAGGAACAGTGGTGAGGTTTAGTGAGCAAAGTTTCTGGCTTCCTGCACAAAGTCTAACAAAATGGATCCTTGGTGAGCTGGTCCCCACCTTCTTTCTGGCTAGAATCTTCTTCCCTGGGGAAGTTTTGGGAACCCAGAAAAATGAAGAGAAGAAAAGGAACACCTGAGCCAGACCTGATGCATGCCTGGAACACCTGAGCCAGACCTGATACATTCCTGGAACACCTGAGCCAGACCTGATGCATGCCTGGAAACTCGCAGAGGCTGATGCAGAAGGATCTTGTTCAAGACCAGCCTAGGCTACAAAGAGAGATCTCAACAAATGCTATACCAAATATGGTCTCTTTCATATGTGGAGCCTAGCTTCTAATTTCTATACCTGTGTATTTATGTGGAAA